TATTACTAGAATTAGCGCATCATTGCATAGTACTGTCATGCACGTACACATCCATTGTTTCAAGCTTTATGACAAAAACCAAAATTTTTTTGTTGATAGAAAAAACCCCGTAACCAAAGGGTTAATACAATTCAAATAGTATAATTTCGATAGAATAATACGAGATTAATTCGGAAATTATTTGATGACCTTCCTAAATAGCTTTGAATTTCTTTGCATTGTTTTATTTTCATTTGAGATTAATGATATAGATATCTAAGGTATATATGTATCTTGAATACATGAACCTTTAGACAGAAGACTTATTTCTAGAACAAATAAAGTAAAATTCTATTGTTAATATGATATACTTTGAAAATTATTAGTGATTATAATTCTTACACTTAGACTTATTTTAAAGATACAATACTTTTACCCAGTGACATCTATATCAGAATACAACAAATATTGAAAAGGATTGATTTACTATATTTTAGCTTTGTCCTCGATTTAAATTTTGAAAACATTAATTTATGGGTTTCCCGATTAAACAGTAAAATTGCCTTGAATTTTCAATGCTTTCACATTACTCAATAGAAACTCGCTCAACCGATTCTTTTTCTAAGGATAAAGATGATCATATACATCAAAAATAGCGTCGCCACATTCAAGGACGTTTATTTCTAACAACAACGCAAAAACTTGATTAGTTTAACACGAATTAAATGATGACGAAAATTTTATAATGAATTAATTAAATGAACTCTTCTAATTATCATATTAATTTTTTTATTGCTTAATTTTATAAGCAAATGAAAATACAAAGACTATCTAATGACGTCAGAGAAGTGTAAAACTGTCAGAAGAATAGTTTGTTTAATAGTTATAAAACTTATGTATTTGAATCTAAGAATCAGTTTCTTTTTTATAGAACTTATCTTTATTTTCGTTCTTTCTTTTTTCATAAGATAAATATTCTATTTCAAGTATGGTTACTAATTTGAATGCGTTTAATTTTAATGGAAAACAAAAATCATATACGTATTTCAAACGTTTCATCATTAACTAATAATTCAAAGATTGAAACAAATACGTCACCAATTTCATTTATCATTTCAACTTCTATAAATCCTTCAACATCATCATTGGATCATACAAAATCAAATAAAACCTATTCCGAAAATCTGGTTATTGCTCAACCAACAGTCAAGTATAAAAACAACGAAACTAAAAATTCAAATTATTATTGTTTTTCTTGTTTAGTGAACTCTTAAGTGACACAATAAAACAAGAAGAATTTGAAAACAATTGTATTGAAGAAGCATATTCAATAAGCAATCGATCAGAAACCAATATTTGTCAATTATTACCACCGCCAACTGGTTATTTAGTTTTTGTCTTTTTCTAATCATCCTATGTTTTGATTTTTTTTAGTGGTTACAACTGTTCATCTTAAACCACGTGAAACTTTAAATAGTTTATCAACTCTCCCCATGACAAATACTAGTAGTCATCTTATGTCAACATTAAACCCAGCTCATTTATCAGACGGTACTGGTTCATATTTTGTTTCAGGTATAAATATATTAATTTATATTGTTAAAATAAATTCTTTCTCTTGATTGAAAAAGATGTGCTTTTTGATCAGATAAAGAAAATATTGAAAAGCTTGGTTGCTTGTTCGAATAGTTTATATTATCAAATAGATCTTTTGGTTTGTTAGTGAAATGTAAACAAGAAAGGTTTTAGATAGTAGAGAAAATATTTTTTCGAACTTTGGAACGCGTTTTTATTAAGATATATTGAATTTCTTTTCAAATTCTATAATACTTTCAAAGAGATTATAGTGACATGTATCGTGTTACTGTTGTTGCACAAGGAACACATGTCTGTCAACGACATATTAAATTTAGCATGTATCAAACTTCTACTTTGAACTAAAAACTATTAAAAAAATAAATGTTCGAGCATAAATGGAAATTAAACTGGAACATTTGATGGTTTTATTTAATTTAGTATATATCGTTGGCCATCGGGATCTATTTTTGAGTTTTTTCACTCAAATGACGGTCGAATAGATGTACCATTTCAAGTTCTATCAACTTATAAAAATTTTCAATTGTAGTGTCGAGAGTGTCTTTTACTAAAACTCATTTGAAACATGTCATAGGCTAAATGATTGATTTCCTAAACACTCATTCTATTAGAATATTGAGATTTAGTACTGTGATTATGTGTTCTACAGTGATCAATCTCTACTATTCTCTTATTTTAATTTTAGGCTTGAGCGATCTAGCATCAAATTATAAATTAAATCCATCATCAAATACTGATTTACCATCTCCATCATCTTCATCCAATTCTTCAAATCCTCCATCATCAAGTCAACAACAACATCAGCAACAGCATCATCATCTTCATCCACATCAACACCAACATCATCAAGTAAGACGACATGGAGAAGGTAATGATCCAACGCGAAAACGAGAAATGCGTTTACAAAAAAATCGGTAAGATTCTTCTCATTTTTTTTCTCTCGTTGATATTCATTCTTATCATTTCTTTGTTTTAGTGAAGCAGCACGTGAATGTCGTCGTAAGAAAAAAGAATATATCAAATGTCTCGAAGAACGTGTAGCTGTACTTGAAACTCAAAATAAAGCATTAATCGAAGAATTAAGACAATTAAAAGAACTTTATTGTCAACGAGAAGAAACAAATAATAAAAATAATTCTAAAACAACAACAACAACTACAGCAACACGTTAAAGACAAGAGCAAAATTAGTATTTCTTTTTTCTTTATTAATCATACTTATTTGTTGTGCAACAGTGTGTATTTTTTGTTTGCCGTGTTTATATTTTTCATTTAATGTGATCTGTTTTGTATTTGAAAACTTTCTATTTGTGACAATATACAAAAAGACATTATAGTGTATTGTTTTCAATTTTTGTTCATGTAAAATTTCTTTTTCTATTCGCTTATTTTAGACATGATTATCGACGAAAATTAGAAAAAAAACGTAAGTCTTTCTTAGTCAAAAGATTAACTTTTAATTAAATATTTTTTTCAAATAACGGAGCATAGAAAAAATAACATATACACTATTAAAATCAATATTCATTTTTAACGAAGATTGTGTGATTCAAATAAAAAACAAATGATAATTAGTGTCGATTTTGCAAAACCGAACTTCTTCAACATTTATTTGTAATTAAATAAGTAGCCATGCAACGGTGAGCCGATAATATACGTATATTCAAGACTAATTCGTTTATACTACTAACCTGCTCTTGGCATATAATCGATTTTAATGTTGATGCTTGAAAATGTATTTCTATTGAAAAAAATTCTAACCAAATGCGGAAATTATATACTTTTAAAAATTTACTAAAATAGAAATCGTTTTGTTGCTAATAAAGTCTAACATGAAATAATAAACTTGAGTTTTGTATTGAGTGCTTTTGTTATTAAGACTCAGCTGTTTTCTAGTTTTGTTTTTTAATTCATTATATTATAGTTTTATATTCTACCCATATTTTTATGTTACTTCGCAATGCTCATTTGGTTTACATACTATGTTGATAGACTCGAGAAATTACTTTAAGAATTTCGACTTTAGATTTATTTTATCCTATTGTCAAATGCCATCTTAAAATAAAATAATGATTAGAAGTAGAATAAATAGAAGTTTGTCTTGAACATTATTTATTTGATTTAATACTTCGAAATATATGTATTAATAAGGCAATTTTGTTAAACAGAAAAATGTCACGTTTTTCTAAACATTTAATTAACAAAAAAGCTTTTTTTTTGTTTCTGTAAAAGATCACACATCACTGAACTTTTTTCATAATAATCATTTCAAGAAGAAAATTTTATGATATTTTCCTGATATTTTATACTTCATGAATTTTAATTCCTAGACAATGACACACAATGATAACAGAGTTTAAATAAATATTTGTTATCGTCGATATGCTCTAACAAAAAAAAAAGTACAAGTGTTTTTGATAACATTTCACTCGGTGTTCTTTGTCACGTTCTTCATGAAAACAATTCTATTCATTATTATTTTCTCTATTTAGCATTATGAATATAGCTGTTCCATCACCACCAACTTCATCGAGTTTTCATCGTTCACATTCTGATCGTGATCTATTACTAAATGAACGTCGTTTAACTCGTGCTCGTTTAAATAGTTCGTCATCATCAAATCTTGCATCACTAACATCAACTATTAATTCTATTGCAACAACATCATCATCATATACAACGGCACTGTCAACACCAGCATCTCTTCCATGGGATCGTTTACATAAATGGTTATATGGTATTGCTATTGTAACATTTGATCTTGAATTAGGACAATCAATAGAATTACTTTTACCAAGTCATTGTAAATTAACAGATAAAGAAAAATTAAATTTATCATATTTATCATTCCCTGATACAAATTCAACATGTCTAGGTGATTTTCAATATCATTTTCGTATGAATCATGAATCATTAAATTTAGCAATAGATTATCAATATTATAACTCAATTGTTCCAGCAGCATTACAAGTTGATAATAATTCATTATTTGGTTATGTTAATTTTCGTCAAAAATGTGATAAAACAATCAAACGTGGATTTTTTCAAAAATCATTTGTTCTTTTATCAAAATTCCCATTTATTTCACTTTTTTTAACTATGGTTAATCAACTTGCTATAAACTATTTTCAACATGGTTTAACAAGTTTAGAATCATGTTGTCATTTAATGGATTGTCAATGGCCAGAACCTGAACCTGGTAAAACATTATTACTACCTTTATTAGATACTGTTTTTCAAGTACGCATTCCAACACATGGTGATAAACCATTTTCATCATCAGATCTTATTCAATTTCGTTCAATTGCTAATGAAACAATGACAGCAAGTATGAATAGTAATAATAATAATCAAAGTCATTCATTTAAATTTCCTATTGATGATGATATTGAAATTGATGATATACCAACAAGAAATCTATCCGAACTAGAAGTAAATAAAATATTCACTGATCTTTTTTTTTTCTTCGAATAGATATTTGATTTAGATAACAAATAATAATAATACAACAGTTGAATCTGTTCCAAAAAATGAACCACAACAATTACCATGTCTGATACCATTTGTATATGATGTTAATACATATCAATCATTATCATGTGTTTTAACACATATTCAACTGTTGTGGGAATTAGTTCTACTTAATGAACCAATTGCAATTCTTGGAAATTTTCCAACAAAATGCTCACAAACTGTTCAAGCTCTTGGTAAATTATTTTCACCGATTTAAAATAATACATTTAGTCAGATCTTTGATAATTTAAAATACGAATAAAGATAATTCTATTATAAACGAAAACATTGTTAGCAATATCTTTCAAGATTCAAATAATGGCAACCATATGATCGGAATTTACTTGGTGTAGATTTTAGCATTCATTTATGTGAAAAGATTATTAAGATAATATAAATCAGAGTTACAGTATTAGAAAAATTAATGTTTAAATTTCTACAAAATTTTTAGTTTTGGTCTTCATGATATTTTTATTTCAATTACTTCGAGTAAGATCTAATCCGGCATGCACATAAATCGAACTGCAGTTCATTATTTGGACTCGGAAACTATTTAACCAGTTCAGACAGTGTTGAGTATTTTTGAACATTGTTGGAATCTTTTAGTACAACTGTAGATCTTCAGTTTTTCGATCATTCATTTCACTATGTGTAGATCTGCAATATCTAACTCTGACTTTCATAGTTTATCTGATGAAAATATCACTTATCTAAGTTATTTAATTGCTACATTCTTTCAAAAATATGAACAAAAATGTTTTTTTTTTTTTTATTTTGCTCAATATTGGTCGTTAATTCTATGTAAAAATAAATGGAAATTATGTGTTTTCACATTTGATATTTCATCTTTTTGAATAAAAGGATGTACTTTTGAAAATATTTGCATTGAACAACAAATGAAGCTTTGTTAGAGTATTTTAAAAATGCATTCTTCTCATTCAAAAAGATGAAATATAGAATATTTAATCGTACGATTTTCTTTTATTTTTTCAGTAGCGTACATCCCTCGATTTTGAGCGCTGCTATATATAATACATAGCTCCTTGTCTACAAAAGAAGATTCATATCTTTATTATGCTCAAGGTGATATATGTTTCAGAAAACTTTCTATTTCATTATAAGGGAAAGGATTTATATGACAATAGTTGAACAAGTTGAATTGAAAACGACATAGTTTTAGTTATTTCTAATGGAATTTTAAAAAAAAACTTCTTTTTTTCAATGTAGTTCAGTTTAAATTTTGAAAAATCTGAATCGACTTCATCTCTACTATAATTTAACATCCTCGTATATTCTTATGAAAATTGACGCCATGTGTTTTTCGATTATTTCCAGTTCACATCATATGGCCATTACGATATGCAAATGATTATCGTCCATTTTTTACAATTCATAACAGTGAATTCCATGAAATAACATTTAATTCTTCAATAAAGCCATCATTTTCACCACCAAAAATTATAATCGGTGTTACCAATCCATTTTTTGCTAAACTTGTTCATCAATGGCCGCATATCATTCGTGTTGATGATGATCAACAACAAAAACCAATCAAAAAACGTGAAAATTTTCTTATTGTAGAACATGATGAAGATGATTTATCTGTAAATGAATTAGAAGATAGTACGGAGTTATCATCATCACCACAAGCTCAAAAAATCATTAAAAAAAAGATTTCAACAACTTCAAAACCATATAAACCAACTCTTACATCAAATAATAATTCGTCTCATTTAACATTTGTTACGAAAGTTGGTTTATATACAAAATATAAATCATATTTAAATCGTGATAAAGTAATATTAAAAAAACTTCAATCAACAAATACTCAACGCCGTCCTGATACAGTACAAAATGCTTTATTACGTCGATTTTTTCTTGAATTAACACAAAGTTTTATTATACCACTTGAACGTTATTTTGTTAGTCTTTTACCATTACGAAAATATTATCAAGCTAATCGTGAACCACCAATAATAAAAGAATTTGAAAAAGAAGAATTTCTTAAAACACTTGATCAATATGGACCACAATTAACATCAGGTTTAAAAGGTGATTGGAAAGAATTATATAAACATTTTTTATCAACACCAAATTTTCGTCTTTGGTTATCAAATCGACAACAAGAAGCAAATGCTAAAATTTATTCATTATATATTGAAACAATAGCACATTGTCGTTTAGAACAAGATTTTAATCTGTCACAATTAACAGAAATTGAATTAATTGATTTAGTTATTAAATTTAAAGATTTAATTCAACGTTTAGAAACAAAAAATGATGAATTATTAATAAGAATTGATCAAAAATTAAAAAATGATTATTTAGAAAGAATCAAAATGAAACTGAAAATAATTATTGAAGAAAATTTATCTGAGGATATGAAAATATTATTTAGCAAACCAATGAGACTTTCTTCATCCTAAATTCTGTTTTTTTTTCTTTTAATCAATCAAGGATCGCAATACTTGTTTTTTTTTATTTTCTACATTTAAATGCTCAGAGAAATTTTTTTTTTTTGTTTGTTTTTCTGTTATTAATTTAGACATAAAGAGAAATATTTGCGAACAAAATCATTTAAATTAATTATTTGTGATTGTTTCTTTCTTAGATGTTCAATGACGAGTTTTGATTTATACTCTGATGAATATTTTCGACAAGTTTTATATTCAAGACTAAGGTAAGAACTCATAATTGATTCATCAAATCAATCAATTCTAGTGCAAGATTTTTTTTCAAAATACCAAATCGACAGACATTAATATGTTATTAAATTTTGAATTTTGCGTACCCTCTCAAGAGAAATAGACATCTATAGCTATATTGACTTTTTGATAGTATTCAGCATGATTTTTTTTCTCGCGTTATTTTAATGAAACAAGTCATATAAAACAAATTATCGTTTCAGAATTCAATGATAAGATTTTATTTAGTATATTGATTAATAATTTATATACAGTTGATGTTCTGGACCTTAGTTAGAAGAAAAAGTAGGAAGCTAGAGGTATGGAGCTAATATGGAAGAATATCCAATGAACAGCATTGTGCTCCAAATGATTCTATTAGCGCTCAATGAATTACAAGTTGTCATAAGAGTATATAACATAAAATCAATTTATTAAATAAGAAGCAAACATCAACAATAATTTTCAAAATGAATCGATGGTCTCAATTCAAAGCTAGAACATATACTGTATATTTAAATAATCATATCAATCGACAAGCTAAATAAAGACTTGTCTTTGAACTTTGAAACAGATATTTATAGTGTGTGACCTATTACAGATATAAGTTTGAGTTCGATTATTGTTGCTTTAGTTTAAAAATCGAACAAAATGATACTATTGTCTATTATCAAAAACATAAATAAATATTGTCGTATACGTATCTTTCTACTAAGAAAATTGATTACGTATCAAGTCATTGAAATCTATCGATGGATCCAAATTTCGGTTGAAAATTTATATCTCTTATAGATCAATTAATTATTAGTACTTATTTCATCTAAGCCCTCCTCATTTATTAACGAAAGATCTATCAAAAAACAAACATGTAGTCAACAAATTCAAAATTTTAAACAAATTCTCAAAGGTCTAAAGAAAAAAATGTATTCGACTGATTCGATATTTCCATAGAGAATATCCTTTTATATAGCAGCTGTTCATATACTAAACAAAAATTTATTATGTTATTTCCAGGGTTTTGTCTTACTCATAAATTAGACAGAAGAAAAAGAGAAATCCATATTTATTATAATATCAAGAGAAAAATAAACATATATTCAATTATCAACTCAAATAAGTATGATGAAAAGTTGTCAGATAGATCAATACAATAGTGACTCAACATTAAACTCGTCATTTGAATGTATTATACCAACAACAAATGAACTTAATTATGAAACAAGTCAAGTTAAATGTCCACATAAAGAAAAAAATCCTTCATTAGAAAAATGTCAAAAAATATTTAAAAATATTATGGCACTTAATGTACATCTTCAAATGTATCATAAAGAAACAGGCATACTAACTGTTAGTTCATTAATAAATTTGTTTTATAAACAAACATTTATATTTGCATGAATATATATAGGCTTCAAATAAATATATATCACGTATAGGACGGTATCATTGTCCAATAGAAGATTGTACATTTTATTGTCGGTGTAAAAAAGATCATATTCAATCGCTATCATTTTCAAATTTTAATGCTGTACGACTTGTAAGTAAATAATAAAAACTTAAGTTTTTTAATGACGAATTTAATATCAATAGCATTATTTACGACAACACGGTTTAAAAAAAGAACAATGTTCAAAATGTTTAAAATCATTTGGTCTTCATCAAGATTTAATTGGACATGAAAAAATGTTTGTATAGATAAATTTTGAAATTTTCTTTTTAAGAATGAAATCATCATAATTTGTTTTTTGTTAAGTTGTGGTATTTATTGTCCATTTTCTTGCTCGAATTGTGATCAACAATTTCAAAACCGAACAAGTTTACGACGACATCAATTAAAATATCATTCAAATGTTAGTAGTGAATCTCAAAATAATCAAAGTGTGACCAAGTAAGAAAAATATGTTATTTTAAAAGTTAACTTTCAAGAAATTTTCTAGTTCGTTGAAATAGGTTTATTATTTAAACCGATCAAAGCACTCTTATGCTTCTTCACTAAAAGGAATTTCTCTAGGTGAATGACGTATAGTTTCAATCTAAAAGGGAATCGAGAACTTAAAAATATTCTAAGTAAAACTCCAATTTACAGAAAAACTAATTATCAAAGATAATTCATCTACTATGCCGTGCGCATCGTTCTCCTAAAGGGATCTTCTATTAGTGAAAGCGTTCAATAGCACTAGATTAGGAAGATGTAGTTTCAGTTTTATCTGTCCAAATTATAGAACATATCAAGTTACCTAGAAAACAATCATTTTTCTCTGTTTCGAAGCGTTATTTTTTGCAGAAAATACAGTCATTTTTATTTATACAACAGAAATATAACAATATTTCACTCTGAAAATCTTCACCATGATATTATTTTACTTAAAGCTCATTTTTAGAAAACAAGAAAGATTATTGACTTGTTAACCACTTGATATGCTCTCTAATCTGAGTAGATCAAAAATAATTTTAGAAAAATACTTTTTGTTCTGGAAAATTAGAATATAAAGATCTGAGAGGATTTCTCATGATCATATTTGGAATCAGCTTGGTCGATAACTCATTAATCCAGTAGGTTTTGATGAGAAAGCGACAAATCAATTGAAAACGTTTCCTCGTCAGTGTAGTTAGTGCACATTGACACTAGTGTTCACTGAAGCATTCCAACACGTCGCCACCAAAAGTGCATATTTTGCTAGAGTTGGTGTCTCGATGTTACATTAAACATGGATATCAGTGTAGTAAGTGCTTTAGTAAACACCGATACCAGTGTAATCAGTGCTCTAATAGACCCTGCGCCAGTGACTTATTATTCACTATTTACACCAACACTGCACATCCCTAAACTAGATACGATACCGAACACATACACTCTTAACCCTTTGAGGACGGGATTACTTTTGACAAAAAATCACATTTTTAAAACTCTGAATTAATATATTTACTGGAATGAATGTGTATAAGGGCACAATACGAATGGTAGTATAGTACCACAATATTGGTGACAAATCCATATAGTCTGCACTAGATATAGATCATAACTAGACAATAAGAGGGATACACAAGTAAATTACGAGCCGATCTGAAACAGTTGCCTATATATAGGCTTCCCGTCCTCAAAGGGTTAATAGTATGAGATGTACAAATGACTATAAGATCAGTGGTATCAAGATCGCATTCATGTTACTTGAGAATATTTCAATAGTGATTATATATATATGCATATATTTAAGATCTGAAAATTTTTGTATACCTACTCCAGCAAGAATATATGTCAGCAGCAATTGTAAAAAAGCTGCCTGCTAAATTTTGCACTATTTCTTGTCAAGTGCAGGACTAGTTTTTGATATTTTCGCATGGAAGTGAGATCCAGTCTATAATCTTTCTTCATCTGAAAAAAAACGAGTTCATTTGCTCAAATATTGATGTACCGGAATTTTCGGCGCCGACATGATGATCATCGATATACTGTTCCTTTCAAATACAAGATTAGCTTCTGAAACTTATAGGCAATAATGTTCAATTGTAGAGAAAACTTTTCTTAAAGTTTGACCTCGATATATTAAACTATTACTGAATTTATTGGTTTATGAAGAGCAATTGATGGTGTTACTCCACATCAATAGTTACGATAAAATAGCTACAGTTCTCGAAATATCCGATGATTTTCTTTAAAATTAGTAATGTAAATAGCTGAAATAAAGCGCTGAATAATACGGCGTTGAGTGACCGCGAGGTCTTGTTTTTCTAGAATTATGAAAATGAAAACAAAATTAGTGTGGCATATATCATCATCGTCTTTGAACTTAAGCAATCAACATGAGATCGTATTGCTGACCTACATTCTAGCTAGGATATGTGTGCACAAAGTTTCAGATCTTCAGTATTTTTAGTGGCTGAGATCCGAGGGAGTGGAGACTTTTGTCAACTATATTATATATTGAAAAGAAATTTCTCTTCTAATGATAAATATCTAATTGTCAGTTATTACGATCGAAAGACTTTCAAACCCAAAATTATCTATTATTTTAGATAGCACTTAGTGTATAGTATTCTAAATTGTGTAGCTGATTTCCTATTTTAGTACTCCTCCCTCATTACCAAAGCCAAGTGAACGTCGAAAACGACCAAATCGTCGTCGCCCGCTTCCACCAGATCAAATTGAACTTTCTCGTCAAAACATTCCTTCACATCAACCTGTCACAATAAATCCACTTGCATTAGAACTATTAAAAAATTTTAATCATGAAAAATTGCCTATGCCATCATCATCATCATCTTCTATAATTGATACTACTCTCATATGTGAATCAGATAGCGATAAAGCAACTCAAACATATACACGTGTTTCTGTTGGTACAGAATGTTGTTCATTAACAAATACTGAGTTAAATTTAATGCGTACAATACCAATAAAAACAACTGAACAAAAATCTAGTCAAACACAAAGTCGTATAAGAGTATATAAAAAACGAAGACGAAGTTCAACGAAAAAAACTACTATGACATCAACAACAATAGATGATGGACCATCATCGGTTACTATTTATACAATGCCAACGAATACATTCAATGCATCAACTATGACACAATGGGAAAATGTTCCTGTTAATGATATGGAAACTCAAATACTTACTCCGACACGTTCTGATATGTGTATTCAAACAGTTGGCAATGTGTCAAATTTACTTGATTATCCATCAGAATTATCGGAAAATAATAATAGTGTTATTGTTCAAACATTACCTATATCAATGACATCAACACAAATGCAAACAATAACTGAATATCCAATAGAACAAACAACAAATGAATATAATAATTATTTATTACCATATCAAGAATCTGTTGGTACATCATGTTTTCTTGATGAATTTTTACTTGATGACTTATCAAAAAATGATCCATCATCATCAGTTTTATTTGATTTTGATGCTATGGATTTACTTGATTTAATCGATAATGGTACACAAACATATCCATTAATATCATCACATGAAACGCAAACAATGACTAATTGGGATTCGATGTTATTAAATGAAGATGAATGGATTCGAACAATGATGAATAATTAAATATGCTTTTTTGTTCTTTTTTTTGTCTTTTATTTTTGCTTGTTCAGATTTTTGTTAAAATCTTTTTCTTTTTGAAAAATATATATTTCTAAAAACTATTCTTATCTAGATTAAGAAATTAGTTTATATAATATGTCATCGTCGATCATCGTCAAATTGATTTCAGACAATTCAATATATCCTAATTTGCAAATACAATCAAAAGATTCTAATTCATCAACGTCATTAATTGTTGGACGTAACGATCAAAGTAAAATAAAATCCACACGTTGTGCTAGACAGCAAGGTATATATAACAATGATTCTAAATAAATCATGCATTTTGCGTTCGATATTTCTTGGAAAATTAATATATAAGCAGCATGTTTTTGCTCTATAAAATATAAAAAATAAGAAATTTTGAACTGCACTTACGAGAGAACGTTTTCAACTGATCAGCTGATTTTTCAATGAAGCCTACTCAATTAAAGATTATTCACCGTGCTGATTACGGATATGACCATAAGAGATGCTCTTGGGTCTATATACGGCGGCTTTCTGAACTGACAAACTTTTTGTTAATTTTTTAAAAATCTGTTCAGTTTATTGAGCATATCGAATCATCTAGAAAACCGTCTCTTTTTCTACTTCACATGCTTTTTTCTGACAAATGAAGTCATTTTAATTTATGCAACAGAGATATGTCAACATTTTAATGTGAAGATCTTTAAGGTAATATTATTTTACTCAAAACTCATACTCGGAAAACAAAAGATTATTTAATTGTGGACAATTCGGTATGCTCTCTAATTTGATTACGTCAAAAACGACTTTGACAAAATGGTTGTTAATCTAAAAAATCCGTTTTACAGAAAATCAGCATATAAAGATCTAAAGAGATTTCTCATGGCCATATTCAGTATCAACATGATTGATAACCCACAATTCACAGCTTTTGGTGACAAAGCAATTGATTAGTTGAAAATATTCTCTCGTGAGTGTTTCTCTTATTTTTCAACATATGTTTAGTGGGTGTAAAGAATCCAAACAATTTTTCATCAAAGATTAGGTAGTCTTGCACTGTTCGATCTTTCATTTGAGATACTCTATGCTAGACTAGAATGTAATAATTCGGTACTCAATTAGTAGTAACTGTCCTACTGAAGTATTGATCTTATCTGGCTAGGCTAAGGTGAAATAATCAATAATCTCATCTCTTTTGAAATGAGATAATAACAAACTGTAAGTTGATATAGAGTCATTATATGATTGGTTTTGCTGTTTAACGACGCCATATGACAAGTATAATTTTCTTCAATTTCGAAATATAGTCAGTACAACAGATGACAAAAGATGAATTCTGCATCAACTTTGAGATGTCATTAATAAGTGTGTCTCACGATGCATTGTAACCAAGCAAAAAGTGTTGATTGGGCTAATATTTTGTGCATCAAAAGGGCTCTGATGAGATCAGTAAAAATCTAAAAGAATTTTTGTCTATGCTCTATTCATCTGAGATTATAATCGTTTAACTGAATTTTTTTTGTTGGATATAATATTTGTAAAAGATCAACTAACGAGTATTTAGCTGAAATTTAATTCATAGACAGTTTTCAAGCTCATTTCAATGCTCGAAAAGTTTCAGCTCAGGCGAATGTTTTCACTTGAGATATTGAATATTGAAAAAAAATCAATACTGAGCATTTTCCTATGAGACAGGATGACTTGTTAGGTATTCAATATATTTCAGAAGAAAATTTTTATTTGAGCTCAAACTGTTGGAACATTTTAATAATCTCAAAGATCTGTCAATCAGTTGAAACTTCAGGTCGACAACTCGTTCGATGATCTTTTATAAAATTCATACTTCAATGAAAGAATCTTCAATAAATTCATCAACAATTTGGATAGATAGAACATGAAAATGAATTTTTTTTTAGTTTTTATTAGTCGCATTCAAAACCTATTGATAGGTAGCATGTCAACGCAAGGTAAATTCTGAAATGTTCAATCGCGAAACCTGATCCTTTAAACATAGAAATTTTTAGATGATATCTACAGATATTGAAACTATTCAGATTTTCTTTTATTTCTGCTTAACGTGAACAGAATTAATTTTTAATCTGTTCATTTAACTAATTTTATATTTTATAGTTTCTCTTCATATTCAAAATGATCAAGTATATATCAAGCAACTTGGTACAAATACTTCGTTTATAAATCACAAACCTATAAGCACCAATGATAAACAAATATTAAATGATGGAGATATACTTCATTTATTAGAAAATGAACACTGCTATACAGTTCAAATTGAACGCTCAAGTATCGGCGATAAGTCTACGAAATCATTTTCGCCAGTTAAGTCGACATTGAAAAGACAAAATACGGAGGATGATAAAACATCATTTAAAAAACAAAAAAATTCTATGAAGAAAATAGAACAACAACAGCCAGAAAAAGATGCATCTGATAGTCAAAATATTGATGATTCATCCGAAGAAAATCGTTTAAGTTGGATACAACAACAACTAGATGCCCTACAAGCCAATGCTAATCAATCGTATGTTGTTTTTTATTAAATAATTTCTTTAATTTTCACCCATCTCTAATTATATTCAGATTACCAAATTCAACTTCAAATCCAGTAAAGAAATCAAATTCAACATCAGAAGATTTATGGGAAAAACCATGTGATGGTCTTGAAGTCTTTACTTCGAAAGGAGTGATTAGTAGTGAAAAAGTAAATATAAATATATATATATGTTCAAATAGATTTTCTTAATCATAATTTAACTTCAGATTGCAGCATTTGATATGGATGGAACAATAATTTTAACAAAATCAGGCAAAGTATATCCAACCGATGAAAATGATTGGCGTATTGGCTTTGATACATGTTTTAAAAAATTAAAACAATTATGTGCAGATAATTATAAATTAGTTGTATTTACTAATCAACGTGGTTTAATGAAATCAGCATCGACAGATAATTTTAGAAAAAAAATTCAACATATTCAACAAAAATTAAATGTTCCTCTTCAAGTAACAATAAATTCTTTTGTTTTTTTTTTAATGATAGACTTTTAATAGTATTCGTAGGTTTTTGTTGCTATTCATTCAGGCCGTTATCGAAAGCCATGTACTGGATCATGGTCACTTCTTGAATCAAAGGTAGGAGTATCTCTCTTGCAAAATAATTGTTTTTTTTTGTACGGTTTATTTAGTATAACGATAGTATTAAAATTGATAAATCTAAATCGTTCTACGTGGGCGGTGAGAAAATCTAAAGATCTTGATTTTGTTTTGGATCAACTGGTTATTTTGGTTTGTTTTAGATGCTGCTGGCCGTCCAGATAAATGGCGAGCTAAAGCAAAAAAAGATCATTCATGTGCAGACCGTCTTGTAAGATAAAGATACGCATTTGAAATCGTTTAACTTTTCTTTATTTAGTTTGCAGCTAACATTGGTTTGCAATTTTATACACCGGAAGAATATTTTCTTGGACTAAACAAAGCTTCATATGAAATGCCAAAGTTTGATCCTGTATATTTCTTTTGTTTTTATTAAGGATAAATTATATATATTTATGTCCTTCTAGAAATCTCTTCGATTGATTCAATCACTTCTTGAACCAGCTACTGCTACATTGGTGTCAAATAAGACTGAAGTAATTGTTATGTGTGGTCTTCCAGCATGTAGGTTATATCATATATTCTAACGAGACGATTTATCTAAGGGTTGTTTACTTAGCGGGCAAAAGTTGGTTTGTAAATAAGTATATTGTTCCACGTAAATATGAATATGTTAATCGGGTAAGTTAATAATAAACATGACTATTTTATAAATGATTTAGTCATAAGATTTTTCTCGTTAGGATGTATTAGGTACCTGGCAACAATGTGTGAAAATGACTGAAATAGCTTTGACTAAAAAGCAAAATGTCGTAATTGATAATACTAATCCTGATAAAGAATCTCGACAAAGGTGAATTAAAGAACTTTCATTTATTACGTTCATAAATATACTTCATTTGTTGTCGGTTTTATATAGATATATTGAAGTGGCCAAGAAATTCAATGTTCCGTGCCGATGTTTTGTAATGAATGTATCAGTTGAACATGCAAAGCATAATAATCTTGTATGTTATACGCCTTATTTAGAGAATAATTAACAGTTGGAATGGTAGCAATTGGATTCTTTTGAGTTTTTATCAAATGAAAAGAAAAATTCGACTCTTTTATTCAGAAATAGATTCTAAAGGCATGAAAAGAAATTTAGTATTCTCGTTCCAAAAAGTTTTAACTAGAAAAATACTGATAACATTGGTTCTTCAAATGTTTGTAATCTATGATTGATGATAGTCGGTTGCAGTCAGTATATTTCAACAGTAAAATGAATTTAAATTCATAAATCACATGCAGAATTGTCCTACTAACACGAGAAGTTTCTCAAGTGATTAGTCGCTTGTGAGTCTGAACTGTATGGATCGTGTAGATTATCATGAGCAACGAATACCCTGAAACGTATTTCAGTTCTTAGGTTATTGTTGCAGAGGTACGACATTTTTACGGCATTTTTCAAATAAGTGGCGTAGTCTCTCTTAGGAACTTCAGAAGAAAGAAATTTCCAAATTCGATTTGAAAATCTCCACAGAGACAGGCATTAGCGAGAATAGTTTAGAGTAAGAACGTCAAATCTTTTGATTTACTTCTACCTTGAGATATGAACATCGAATCTACTGGTATATATGGGCAACGCAAAGTACATTCTTTTATCATAGACTTATCTTCAAATAGGAACAAAGAAAAGGTCTGAAACTCCGACAATTAACTCTTCTTGGTAAGGTCTGTCTTGATGTAAAGTTTCAAGTAGAAATTCAAAATTGATGCTAAGAACTCGAACTCTGTTCGTGATATTCACAGTTTTTTTGAATCTACATGATGTACATAGTCTCGACTGAAAAGTGATGAATCAATTGCGAGACTTCTCTCATGAACTTTTTTTTTCAACTTATTAA